AAATTTCATTTTACGGATCAAATTATTTTCACTCCATAGGACCAATAAGAATATTGCTGCTAACGTCCAACGGACAGAAGTGAAGTGATGTGGAAAACATGATTTGAAAAGAAGGATAAATTCATGAACGTTTATCTGAAAAAGAGAAATCTAAAACGTGTAAAAATGAAATCTGTAAGAAAAGTGTCAGAAAAATTATATGAGAAATGAATTAGACAAAAAAATATAATCTTAGAAAACAGACAAGTTGCTCTCAAAACCTTTTCAATTTAAACATTTTTCAATGTTTTATTTCTGGAATACGTTTTTTTATTTTTATTTGCATGCATTCTTTGCTTGCAACAATAACGGAACAAAAATCACTCCATAGTTTTGTTTCCAATTTCTTTAATGATTTGAGTTGTAACAAACTCATTTTCCTTCTGCATCCAGAGGACCTCCCCAAACCCAAGATTACGGTGCAGCCGGAGACGCAGTCGGCTCTCAAAGGAACCAACGTGACGTTCGTCTGTTCCGCCGCGAGCTCCAGTGACTCCCCCATGAACTTTTCCTGGAAGAAAGACAACGAGGTCCTGAACGACGCAGAGATCCACAACCAGGCGCACCTCCGGGCGCAGGGCGATGCGGGAAGTGAGACGGAAGTGACGGAGTACACCACCACCCTGCAGCTGCGGAACGTGGACTTCTCTGCCGAGGGGAGGTACCAGTGCGTCATCTCCAACCAATTCGGCTCGTCGTATTCCACCAAGGCCCGGCTCACCGTCAACAGTAAGCCTGAGATAGAATGACGGTTACCTGTGTCTCTGGTATGGAGTGACTTTTTAGTCCGGTATTGTTGCAAACAAAGAACATATATTAAACATGGACATTTTTTTAAATGCAATCCAGAAATTAAACTGTGAAAAACTTGTATTTCTATTTCTAATTCTTTCATTTGATTTTATTTCACTAACTTTTTTGTTTTTGCAGAATTTTAAAGTTAAAAAAAACGTACATTTTATATTTTCTTTTTTTTTTTTTTTTTTTTTTACAAATTACAAAAAACATAAAACGCAAATCAAAATAATGCAATAGTAATACTGTATCTGAAGAAAAAATTATAAATTAAAATATTCAATCTGATAATAAATATTACTGAAGAGAGAAAGATTGAAAAAATACAAATTGTAAAAAATGTTTTGGAAGAAATAACAAAATAAGGTAAAAATACATGTGAATGAAAAAAAAGAAAATGAAAATACAGCTAAGTTACTCTCCAAGCCTTTTTTAAATTAAATTGTTTTCAAACTTTTATTTTTGGATTCCAGAATTTTGTTGTTTTTAAATATCGATTTTCAAACATGTTTTTCGCTTGCAAAAATAATGGAATAAATTTCATTCCATACTCCCTCTTCTGTTTTTTTTAGTACTTCCCTCTTTCCTGAAAACGCCGATGGACCTGACGGTGCGGGCGGGGATGATGGCGCGGCTGGAATGTGCCGCCACCGGTCACCCGTCACCTCAGATCGCCTGGCAGAAAGACGGAGGCACCGACTTCCCCGCCGCCCGCGAGCGCCGCATGCACGTCATGCCGGAGGACGACGTTTTTTTCATCGTGGGGGTGAAAACGGAGGACATCGGCGTTTACAGCTGCACCGCTCAGAACACAGCCGGAGCCATTTCTGCCAACGCGACTCTAACGGTTCTCGGTGAGAAAGTTTGCTCACGTTTGGAGCCGACATTTTCCGTCTAGAGATTCTTTCATCGTTTAACCCGTTCCTGTATTTTTCGCAGAAACCCCCCATTTCTTGCGGCCACTCCTCGATCGCACCGTGGTTAAAGGCGAGACGGCCGTCCTCCAGTGCATCGCCGGTGGCAGCCCTCCTCCCAGGCTGAACTGGACCAAAGACGACAGCCCCCTGCTGGTGACCGAGCGCCACTTCTTCGCCGCTGCCAACCAGCTCCTCATCGTGGTCGACGCTGCAGAGGCGGACGCGGGGAAGTACACTTGCGAGATGTCCAACGTCCTGGGAACGGAGAGAGGCGACGTCCGCCTGGCGGTCCTTCCGAACCCTAACTGTGACTCGGCGGCGCAGGGCGGCGTAGGGCTGGTCATGGGCGGGGGACTGGGAGCGGCTGACGATGGGTGGGCCACAGTGGGAGTGGTCATCATAGCGGTGGTCTGCTGTGTAGTTGGAACCTCCTTGGTCTGGGTGGTCATCATCTACCACACCCGCCGGCGGAACGAGGACTGCAGCGTCACCAATACGGGTCAGTGGACGCCTGGTTGTGAGATCGCCCAGGCATCCGAACTCTGACTCATCCGTTTCCTTGTTCTTTTAGACGAGACCAACCTGCCTGCGGACATTCCCAGCTACCTGTCCTCCCAGGGGACTCTGGCTGACCGACAGGACGCCTACATCCCGTCCGAAAGTGGCAGCAGCCATCAGTACCTGGCGTCGTCCTACAGCGGCTTCTACCTTCAAGCCAAAGACATGAACGGTACAACGCTGGCCTTTCCTTCTTCCATTCAGTTCTATTCAGTTTATTTCTATAGCTCCAATTCACATCATGTCATCTCAGGTCACTTTATAGAAACAGTTCAACCAGATTGATTCAAAGTTTTCTAACGAAAACCAGCTGATTGCATCGACTCACTTAATTAAAAGAGAGAGCATTGATAGAATGAAGCAGAATGATGAAAAAGGGGTCCCTATGTCCTCCAGCAGTCTAAGCCTATAGCAGCAGAACTATAGAACTAGATCAGGATAACCTGAGCCACTCTAACTAGAAGCTTTATCAAAAAGGAAAAACTGATTGAAATCCTAACCAGGCACCATGTCTTAACCTTGGTAGGTCTTTGCCAGCTGGACACAGGAAGTGAAGCCGACATGGAGGCGGCCATCGATCCGTTGCTTTGCCATTACCAAGGTCCGATCGGCTCGCTGCTATGTCAGGACGGCATGTACCCCAGCGAGCCGTCTGACGGCTTCCCAGGTTGGTGAAATTCTTCATCCCGTCCCGGTTCAATCGTCTTAAAAGAGGAAGTGATGTCACATCTGCCTGTTTCCCCCTCAGGTTTCCCCGCCTACCAGAAGCCGGTCTCCATGGAGTCCTACAGCGGCAGCCTGACTAAACCCAAAAAGAGGGAGTACTCACCGTTCGAGCATTTGGACCTCTGCCCCTCCTCCCTCGGGATGCAGCATCCGGACAGCGGCTCGAGTCGAGGCTCCCCGTCTGAACAGGGACACCCGCAGCCGTCGCTTGATGAGGCGGAACCCGTTGATTGTGGAAAACCTCCGAACTGCGTTTCTACCTGCAACACTTTCATGGGTAAGTTGTTCAGGCCGCTGGCTTTTCATCACAATGACCTCTGCTTCGGTCTAACGTCTAAACCTGTCCTGTAGGAACATTTGGGAAAGCTCCTTGGACTCCGAACAAGGATGTTTACGTCCCGCCATCCGTCACGCATCATGGATTAACTCTTCATGAGAATCTGTACTCTGCTCTGGACGTCGACTCGGACCTGGAACAAAAGGACTCGTCAGAACAAGGCAGCAGTGTCTATGAGCAGCCTTTTGACAGCTGCAGGACCGATCATTTCCCACAAACGAGGACGAGCTCCTAGCCGGTCGGCCGTCCTGTTTTTCACGAGGAGAACCAAAGAGAACATAAAAAAACTGAACCTTTCTACCTCACTGAATGGAAACCTTGGCAATAAAGGACGTCTGAAACGTGCAACAATGAATGTAAAGGACAGCTTCGTGCAAAATAGCTGCGGTTATTTTGACATAGATGAATATTTACATGTTTATATAAAGTTTATTATATTTTGTAAATTGTTTATAAACAGATTTGATTATTTTTGCTTACTTGTTTTTGTACAGATACTTTGCAGCCAAGCATCTTCCATTTATGTGCGCTTTGATTAAAGCAGTGTTTTGCACATATGTTAACAATAAAAAAATGTGCTGGTAATAATCCTAACTGTGCTTCTTTTAATCCCTGTTCAGATTTTATCTGTTTCAGATTGGGATTAACAGATTACCATTATTCCAGAACAGCACAGACCAACAGTAGTATCAGTTTTAAATCTGGTTTTAATCAAACCTGTTCAGTTAAAACAGTTTAATTCAGTCATAAGCAGTGTTGGGTAAGTTACTTTAAAAATGTAATCTGTTACAGTTACAAGTTACCTTGTTTAAAATGTAATTGTAGTGTAACTTTTTCGTTTACTTTTAAAAAGTAATGTAACTAATTACTAGGGATGCGCGATATTGGGATTTTGGCCGATATCCGATATGCCGATATTTTAAAACTCATGTAGCCGATAACCGATATCGATACCGATGTTAAAGCTGGACAAAAATAAGTAGTCATTGAAAATCGCAGTTTTGTTATCCATTTCTGACACTTTGAAAAATAATATACTCAAATATATTTTCATATGCTGATATCAAATAGATTTTTAAAAACGCGGTATCGATCTATTTTACTTTCAAAATCTCGTGAAATTTCATCGTTCTGTTACAAACTCTCGTGATATTTTGCAAATTCTTGTGAGATTTTGTTAGTAAAATAGATCGATACCGCGTCAATATATCAACATATAAAAATATGGCAACATTTGGTGAATTTTCGGGGGATTTCGTAGCATAACGATGACATATAGCAATATTTCATTAGAAAAAGAGATTGATATGGTGTTTTTAAATGGCAATATATCAGCATATGAAGATATTGGGATATTTTATGGATCAATATTTTTTCCCTCGTCTTTAGAAGTTTTTAAGTCTGTAAAAAAGAAGTTTTTGAGGAAGAAGTAGTATTTTTTTTTTAGACTTTAGAAACTCAGAAGCTGATCAAATATCGGGTTAAATATCGGTGGGGTGGCCAATGTCCGATATTCAGTTTTAAGGCCGATACCGATAGGGGGCCGATTATATCGTGCATCCCTACTAATTACTTATGATTACTTTTTGATTACTTTTAGGTTTTAATGAGTACTGACCCATGTTCAACATTTAATTTTTCAGAACTGAATGTGAACCTTAAAAAAGCATTAAGCTGAGAGGGTTAGAGAGTATCGTATCCGGAAACAACATTTTAGTATCGATACTTTTTTAAGTATCGATACTTTTGACAACCCTAGTCTGAAATGTAGGACATGTCCAGGAAAAAGAGGACATCTGGTCACCCTACAGTTGGCTAGGCTAGGCTAGGCTAGGTCATAGACATCGATAAACGTTTGTCATGTATGTGAGAATTATCCTGCCATAATGCCAGAGCACATAATTTCAATTTGAGAAAATAATTTCATCTTCTTGCACTCAAAACTTATAATGCTCACACTCCAAACATGCGCTCTCTCTCAAATATTTTCTCTTCTTTCTCAAATCTTTGTTTCTTCTCTCAGATTTAATGCTTCTTGCACAGATATTTTCTCCTCTCGCTTGCCTCCTTCTCTTCGCGCACAAACCGCGCTCTGCTAGAGTCTCAGATACGCTCGCAAACCCATAGGCTCTGCTTGCGGATATTTTTTGCTCTCAGATTGGATCGGATCGTCGCCTAGCAACCTTTCCAGCCAATAGAACGACAGCCTCAGAAAGGGTGCGCTTGTCTATTAAACCGAAGCCAAGAGGAACGAGTAACGTTTGTTTTAAAAATGCAAGGAATAGAAAGTACAGATATTTGTGTGAAAATGTAATGAAGTCAGAAGTAGGAAGAAAAATAAGTAATGGAATAAAGCATAGATGTCTAAAAAGTGTACCTAAGTACAGTAATGAAGTATTTGTACTTTGTTACTTGACACCTCTGCCTAATGAACAGGTCCGCCTCTTGGTATTGGGGAGTCGTTTAGTTCTCATGAAACAAAGATGGTTCCTAAAATCTGCAAGTTTCCTAAGCAGGTTCTCGTACTCCTACATTATTCCCATGGTGTCCTTTCCAAAATGGAGTCAATATAATGCTAAAGGTTCTCAGNAATCTGCAAGTTTCCTAAGCAGGTTCTCGTACTCCTACATTATTCCCATGGTGTCCTTTCCAAAATGGAGTCAATATAATGCTAAAGGTTCTCAGTCATCCGGGTCATAGTTATTCCAAAAACATTGATAAACACAGAAGTACTGAGCAGGAGGTACTTCAGGTAGGAAAGTAAAACTAATCGTGCAAAAGAATCTGTAGGTCAGGTGCACTTTCTGCAGGAACCAAAAATAAAAAGCTCCGTTCATCTGTGTTTCCGGTTAGAAAGATCCATGCAAATAAGTGATACTTTTTAGAGTACTACTGGAGAGTTTAGAGGGAATGGTTACGATAATTTAAGCTGGAGCATTGATAGTGGTTCAATTCAGGAAACAATGGAAGAGAATGAGCCATGTGTCCTTTCTATAGAAAGAAATACAAAGAAACTGCAAGGTTCATGGAAGCTTTAGCTCTAATGGTGGCGTCTTCCCAGAAGAGACACGGTTAAACTCAGAGGCACTGGGCGGGGAGTACTTTCATTAGAAAAGACACCGATTATACAAATGTTACTATAGGAGCAGAACCTCAGTCTGTTCTAGAGCGGGAAAGCCCAAAATGGTTCCTGGAGGATCGCTGTCCTGCAGGTTTGAGAGGTTTTCCTGCTTCATCACAGCTGATTTTAATTGATATCTGATTAACAGGCTGTTGAACTGCAATCATCAGAATCAGCTGTGCTGAAGCTGGAAAACCTCTAAACCTGCAGGACTTCCACACTAAAGCAGAACAAAAACCTCTTTTCCTTTATAGGCTAATAACCTTTAACTGGTCAGATCAACACAGAGCAAAACAATGACTGTGTTTGAAGGGACTGGTTAATAGAAAATAAGAGAATTCTTAGTGGGAGAAAATATGGAGGAGCATAAAAACCAAACCAAGTGTCCTTTCTATTAGAA